AGTGTCATATATCCACCCCTCCCTTATGCTACCCCACCCATGCTGCTGCTGCCATGTACCATTTACTTGAAGCAGAGATAGTGTATTCAGTAGTCTATAACATCGGCTAGGTCTATACTCTCTGGGGACATTCTGAACATTCCTGCTATTGTTGTTTCATTACCAGGCCGAGGGTTACCCTTGCCATTCACTCTGGCTGACCTCAAGACTAACAGGCGGTGGGGACGGTGTTCCTTGGAAGAGACTGACAGGAGCCCTTTCTTTACCAAAAGTGATGGCGCAAAAAAAAGTTTTGTTATGTGTCAAAACTGCTTATGTCAATGCAGTTTGGTTGCTTCTATAATGTACTTTTCATTCTGGAAAGCAAACGAGATTTGAAAAGTAATTTCTCCTCAGGGCTCTGGCTAAACCAATCTCACTTTCCTTTGATGCCACTATGAGATGACCATTTGTGGTGTTGAGAAGGCAATCAACCACTTAATCGGTTTCCTAAATATGAATATGAATATTCGGTGCAGACATTCAAGACAGAACATCGGTGACCCTTTGTATTTTTAGCTTCCAACATTTGGCAGACGATCCAGTGAGACCTTTGATAACACAAAAGACTGGAGTAGACACAAAACTATCCAGCACCACAAGTTAAACACTGGGAGAGCGGCAACGGAAATCTTACGCAGAAAGTTCTTAGTTGGTGTTTATACGTAGATACACACAACCACTCGAGAAACCACAGGGAGAACCCCTCACAACCTCTGAGATAATGAGTCAGCACAGAGCACTGGAGACTCAGGGTATATGAAAACTCCCCACACCTGGGCTTAATCAAAGCCAATCAGTGCCACACACACCTGATTGCAATGAATTGATTCTCTCACCACTCTCACTGAGCAGAAAGAGTGAGTGCCCTCACAATCTGGGCCCACATCGATCAAAATTCTGAGTTATGTTTCTTAAGGCTGTATGGTGTTGTAGGCTATTGAAGGGCTTTATCTATTTGAAAAACCAAGCTTCATAATGTTTTTTTTTCTGTGTTTTAACTTCCTCCTACGATCAGTTCCTGCTGAAGTATCAAATCCCTCAAAGGGGTTCAGAAGGAAGAGAGACACAGAAGTCTTCAGAATACTATCTTTGCCAAGATAACTCCTCATCAGCAACTCTCTTTTCTTCTGCCCTATCAGTTGCTCTCTTGTGTCTCTTACTGGACCCTAAACTCTCCTTTCTTTTCTTTAGAGCTTTTCCCACCCTTCATTCCTATCGCTCCAGTTACTTCCCTTTCTTTTCTCTGTGTGAATTAACTGATGCAATCAAATCCTCAAATAATGATTTTTGTCTACTGTTTTATTCACTGTGTTCTCGGGGTTTTTTTTGCCTTTTTTTAGGAGGCATGATGAGGTGCTGGCAGTTTAATGAGATGTGTGAGTGTGCTTGTATGGAGGTCTCTGTGTGTTAGGATGGGGAGTGCAGCTGCAGCCCCAACATCAAGTCCTTTCTTGAGCACTGAGGGATGGAGAGAGGTGGAGGGGTTCTTCCCCCCCACCCCCGCTTCCTGTGTGCAGTGAGTCAAAAACAAGTGGTTCACAAATGGAGATGACACGATCGCAGGTTTCTGCGCAATTTAGCCTAAATTCAAATTGAGAAATGGAGAGAGGGATGTGACAAAAAAAGAAAGAAAGATAAAGACGCTTTAGAAATGGCAGTTGCTCTCAACTGGGCATCCAGACACCATCTTCCCTTTCATGAAAAATCGTGACCCAATTTTCTCATAATTTTCAATCAATCAGATATATTTAAAGAAAAACTGTTTAGTTTGGACCTCAAATGGTAGAAAGCGTACTAGAACAACAAAACTGAATGAAACAAACTTGTTAAAAAAAGCGCTTCATATTCGTTTTGACAACAATTTTTCTTCCAGGAACACATTTGCGACCCACTGAAAACGGCCCCGCGACCCACTTTTGGGTCCCGACCCACCAGTTGAGAACGACTGCTTTAAGGCACTTATGTGTATCTCATTCAGTCACTTCTGTGTGCAGAATGCAACAATGACAGGTAACATTTCAGCACATCAAAAATGCAGCTAATGGAGGTCAACTCCATGCTTTTTTCTTTCATCTGCATCCACCTTATTTTGAACGTCTCATTAGCACAGCATGGTACAGTGATGTGAGATAAACGGACACACGCCTCCTGACTCTGAGGTATGCTTTCATCCTGACTGAGGCCTTTCATTTTCCTATCAGACTGCTGGCTCAAGCACCTGGACTACAGTCAATTTTGGAAGGCTGAATAGTAATTACTTATTGGCTACAATGTCAGTGCACAGTCACATTCAAGTCAAGGTTATCTCGTTCTTGGTAAAATATGGAAAAAGCTTCAGAGACTGATTTTGATGTAGATGTTGTATCCTTTTGTTAGATGTGGGTGACTTCTCAGACATATAATAAATAAACCATGTTGACACTCATATCTAAAGTTAAACATTGCTTAGTGCTGTGCTCATGATGTATTAATGTTGGGTCTTTGTAATATAATATAACATAGAGTAAGGTCTTTTACCTGCTTTTTTGTAAAGTGTCTTCAGATAACGTTTGGTACGAATTGGCGCTATAAAAATAAAGATTGATTGATTAAGATTGATTGATTAAAGATTATTGTTTCTTGTTTCTGGTCCATTTTTCTTTAAACTCATCTTGCAGTTTTGTCTTGTAGAAAGTAAATGTATCTATTGCACATCAATTTAAAGGTCGATGTATCTATTCATAAAAGGTATTATCTGATTTCTCAACAGAGCTCGATGCAAAATACTCAAAATAATAATCCCCCCCAGCGACCTTACATCTACAGGAGATGTAACATTGATTGGATTGAAAAAAAAAAAACCACATCTTTTGTGTAAGTGCACAGGTGTTGGTGTCTAAAGGAGGAGACACGTGCTGCCTGAAGAGCTTGGTATAGAGATGAGAATTGACTGAATGAAAGGAGTAGAGGGTTTCAATGTTGGCTAAAGAGACCACACAAAGGATCTAAGAACATGCATCTGCTACTGAAAGCAACTGAAAAGGGAGTCTGTGTGTGAATTTGGTTTACTTTTTCATAGTCCATAACAGGTCCTTAAACAATGAATTTGTTAAACTAATCAAGAATTTGTTTCATCTTTTCAAATATAAAGAGGAGCTATGAAATTGTTACTGAAATTTCCTGTTTGATTTGTTTAAATCTTTTTGACAATAAAACAGAATAAATTATGGCACAAGAGTTTAAACAGAGAATAACACCAACAATATGAGTATATCCAAAATATTTCAGTTTAACCTTTCTTTTTTCCCTTTATGCAGAGTTGTTTTGTGTTTCTTGAGCTGCTTTTGAACGATAAGATGGCAGATTATTAAAGGATTATTCTATTTCCTTTTGAAAATGATGCAGAATTGATGCATTGATGAGACATTGATATTAAAAAAAACATCCAATGCTCTCTTTTAATCTTTCTTAGACTTGAAAATAATTCCAACCTTTCTCTTATTGCTTCCTGTTTCAAAACATTGATTCTTATCTTTGATTCAATACCAGATATAGTTCTTAAATCTGCACACTGTTGGCTTCAGGGAGACTGGGATCTTTGACAAAACCACTGATGTGGCAGTGTGCATCACCAAGGACACTAAATAACATCAATATAACATGAAAAGTAGACTCTTAGACATGCATAGTGCACGCACCTCTCTAAACTTTCATGCTGCAGATCCTACCATCCACACATTCAACAGCACCCCCAACCCCCACTTCCCTCTATATCCCCCTTTTTCCAGTTGCAGTGACAGGTGGCTCTTGGGGGTTTGGGGTAACACAGTTCAACAGCTGCACAAAAGAGCCCCACTAGGTTCCTTTTGAGGGGGTGTCCACTCTCAAGCGTGCCGGTCAGCCCCTGGCCCAGCCCCCACCTTGGCAGATGCTACGAGACATCCACAGGTGGTGAATGAGTGGACACTCTCCAGTGCTTAAAGCATGTTACGTAACAAAGATTCCTCAGAGGTTTAAGGTTTTTGAGATTCTTTGTGCTGCATCTGGCTCTGACTTAACATAAAATATAAAAATACATGATGGTATTTTTAAAAAAATTTTTTATCTAGGGTGGAGTAACTTGTTTAACGCATCTAACATCCATCTTCCAAAACAAAACCTGGCTGACAGGAATATCCAGTGTTCTTGTTACGCTTCAATTACATGCATGTACAACCTATTTGCTTCAACAAATTATTAACACTATACATTTCATTAAGTCTCAGTAGGTTTAATTTTAAAAGGCTGAAAAGATCCTCATCTTAGTGCCCCCAAATTTGTTGTTTTCTGATTTCATGCACAAGTCAGCGTAGAAGAAAAAAGTGTTCTGACAACCTCTCCTATTCCATTTCATAGTGTTTTTTTTCCTGCAAATGTAGTGGTGATTAAAATAAATTTATATTATTACACGTTGGAAATCAGTGTATTTGTTATTTTGCCAATGAAGAGCTGTGAATACAATAGCCTACTTAAAATACTAATGATCTTAATTCTTAGTACTGCATAAAAATCTAATGTTAAAAATGACTTTTCACAACCAGCAAATGACCAAATAAAAGAGGACAAACATTATGCCTACTGCTACTGTGGTCAAAGGTTTTTAAGGAAAAGGTTTAATTGAATGTGAACTGTGAACTGGCTAGTTGTTCGAGCATTGTAGTTCTGTGGGCGGATGCGCCAATGAAAAGAGAGGGGGACAAATACTTTACTCCGATGAAGAAATTCGTTTCAAGCGAAAATTAGTCCCTCAAATATACAACAGTAGTTGAGTTGCGACGCTTAGATTCTGCGTTTTTATTTAATGACTTTAAAATTAGCTAGCGGTTAACGAACAATGCTGTGGTTAGTAACAGTACCCCCCCTTTGGTTAATGGTACAGTCCGATCCTGAGGCCAGTCAGGGACTCAGCCGCACAAGCGAAGCATCAGCTGTGGTGAACCGGAGAGTGAGAAAGTTCTCTCACTCCTCTGTTGCTTGCTGTCTCCCACATTCCCTCAGACACCTTTCTATTTAACTTATCTCAGGAGCCACCAGTGCCCCTGCTAATAGGCGTTAACAGGTACTGGCAGTGTTTTTTATTTTTTTTATTTCAACCTTTTACGTTTTTTTTTTTCTTTTTGGGGACGCAAGGTTTCCAGCCCCGGCTCGTTCAGGACTTCGGGTGCTATCCTGCTGGAGTGACTCGACCAAGTTTCTCCCCCACCTCTATTCTTGCCTGAGGAATGAGAGGAGTGCCGGAGAGGAAGAGCCGAAACTCGCATGTTTGAAATGAACAAAAGAACAGAAAGCGAGGGTATTGCCGCCGAAATGGAGGATAATATTCTACCGGGAGCAACATGTAAGTGTTTATTGACGCTATAGTGCACTCTACCTGGAAGCTGTCTCGTGTAGCCTAAAGGAAAAATACCGACGGGTGCTTTGTCATCTACGTCCTCTACGTAACTAAAATGATTAAAAACGTCTCGTCTGTGTTAACTTTATAGTTGCACGACAGGTTCATTTAGGTGTCTGAAAAGCCTTGGTGCAATTAAGGTGAAGCAGTAGGCTACAGTGCGGTGTGGAATAAAAATGACTGATGCATTATGCGTTGCGGAAACAGACAGACAGTCCACAAATCACAAAAGCTAATGCAATGTTGTTGTTGTTGTTGTTGTTGTCCTCAAGCTTAACACCTAAACCTCAAGCCAGAATGTAATCTGGTGACAGTGAAATATGATTTAACAATCTCAAATCCTTTTTGATGATGAAAACTAAAAACTGCTCTGATCATCAGCTGCATCCTATTGCTGATGTCCCTGGAAAAAGACACAACGTCTTTGCTCTTGCACAGAGTTTAGTCAACAGGGTTATGATAACACAATTTGCGCTAGATGAGGTAATCTGACTAGTCCCATCCCATCCCCCTCCGTATGTTATGTTTAGCTCACTACTAACGTGATGCAGACCCATAGGAGGCGGTCTGGCATCCTTTCATATCTCCTCTTTGCTGCTTGCCCTCCCACAGGATGTGTTTTTCCTAATGCAGTGGATGTAGATTTTGAATGCACAGATGCTGTCAAGCTCTTGTTTTTTTTTTGCCTCTGGTGCAGAGATGCATGTCACAAAACGCCTTGCATGAAGTGAATGTTGAAGAGAGACTCAGTAAACTGCAGGATAAGGGGTTCAATTCAAACTCGTGGACAAATCTGGCTCACTTTCTGCGTCAGATGTTCAATTGTAAATACTGTGATGGCGTGATCATGCAGTGCAAGGCCGGTGTCACGTCTACTCACTGAGCTTTAACAATGTCTCAGTTTTACATGTTGGAAACTTGGCCCGATGTGAAGTTTCAGGACACCCGGCTGTGGTCCGAGTTCGTGCACAAGAACGATGCACTGACATGTTGCCTCATTCTGGAAATAGAATGGGACACACACAATGTGACCTCCTCCTTGTGACAACAAAAAGACTTCCTTCCTGCCAATAGGGGGCTTTGTGCGGGGAAGTCGGCTTGTTTTTGGCTCTGTCTGCATCAAGCAGGAGGAGAGGCATGCTCCACCCTGACCGTGAGAGTCTTGACCAGTAGACAGAATAGTCTTGAACATAGTGTGTATATAATCATAACGATAGGAGGGCCGGGCAGCGTACATGTTGTGACTCACAGCAGAGGTGGGCTCTTGATTCCTGCGATGTCAGCCAAACTACTTCACTTCTCATTCTCACTGGAAAAACAGTTGTTTAAAGTTGTTTTTCCAGCTGTTTCTGATAGGTCAAAGTGCAACTGGTCATCTGAGTTCCAACACTGATTGTGCATTATTCAAGCTCGGAGTGCAATGTGCTCAAAGTCGCCTTAGAGAAATATTTTGACCTTTTTATGATTACCCTGTCCTGAAGGGAAAGTGAATGTCCACAACTAAGAATCTTAAAAAAGAAAGACATGTTTTCTTTCCTTTTGTATTTTGCTAAATCCTTTTGCCAAACACACCTTGAAGCAGTTGGGAAATCGGAAAAGTCTTCTTCTTTTGTTGAAACAGAGGCATAAAGAAAACTCACTTGATCTGTCTTGCTTGAAAACTAGTCCTTAAACCGGCACTGTTGAAAGCCTATAGCCCAGGCCAGCATTGTGAAACTCTGCTGTCAGGACTTCTTGAGTAGATCGTCTAATCCCTCTTTTCTTTATGCAGTTTTCTTTTTTCAGTGCTCTCCGTTCTGCTGATCTTTGACAGTCAGCTCTGTTTGGTCGTCCTCTTTAATCTCCGTACCTGAACAGCTAATCTGTGACCAGCTGAGATGAATAGAAACTTGGATTTGCCTTTTATGGGATATTCACGGTCAACTTAGATGAAAGTGGCTACTCCATCTCAAAAAAATACTTTCTGGAGGCAACAGTTTATAAGATACTGAAATGTAATTTCAAACTTTTGTTTCAATCTGAAAAAAGAACGTCGCTTTACTACAGCCTTACAGAGGATGAGGGACCTCAGCAGACTGTCGGGGGGAGAGAGACTGTGTTGTCCTTGTCTTATCGTGTTAAATAGGAGAACTCAGCAGTCTTTGCTGTCAAGCCTGTGCAGTAGTGAACAGGATCAGTCAGCTACACATCTTCAGCTGCAGGAGTTGTTATGTAATCAGGGGAATACGTGCAACCGTGTCCCATTTTTTATTTATTTTTTGGCAAGAGAGCTGCTTTGGTGTCTTTGTAAATTAGCAGCGGGCAGGGTCCCAATGGGCCTCCCAAGATTCTCTGCCTAATAAAGGAGCCAGATAACAATGGGATGGCTCCAACAGAGAGCACTGCAGTAGTAGTGTGTGTGTAATAATGAGGGGTTTTTGTGTTAATCAACAGGTAAAGCACATGGTAAAAATGTTTGTGTCACCAAATCTTCTTCCATGTAGAAAGAAAACAAGCTATGATGTAGTATGTGATAATATAAGAGTTATTTACTTCTGGATATTTTTGATTGTGCAGTAATGTTGGGCTTAACTGAAACTATAAATTAGATATTAACCTTACTATAGAGGTCAATTAGCAGACTTAGTTGTGCCATTATTTCTGAAAACTTGAATATTTAAAGTCTAGTGTTTGAAATACCCTAATCCCAATTATGCCCCTATACCCTACTGATAATGTTTCATAACCTAGTGGCCCTTATTAGTACTCGTTGCAACTGCAGTCAAAACAGTGTTGCCACCTTTAACAGATCCAGGCTCAGTTTAAGCAAGCTAGCAAGGCAGTGACAACGCAGACACTTCCTACCTTCCTCCCACATGGCCCAAATTGTCCCCAACAAACAAAACACAACTATTCCTGGCGCCAACATTACAGATGGAACATAACAGCAGAGAGAGCAGAAGAGGAAATAGAAAGACAACGGGTAAAGTCTGAAGAGAGACCTTAGAAAGAGGATGGGGGGAAGTAGAGCCATCGGTTGGGTGCTCTAATCGAGGCTAGCACTCACCCCCGCAGAATCAGTCTGAATTAAAAAATGTTTAATATATCCAAAGCATAAAAAAGTGCCCTGGCATTCAGACTATTCTTGCGATTTGCGATTTTATGGTGCACACGAAAGGAACCAACCAATGTGTTGGCTTCTTACTTCCTGATCCATTTAATACACTGTATGTGGATGCAATCGCAATTTGCTTTATCAATCAAATGGCTTTTTGCAGGTATGCATGGCTAAAATGATTAACTGAGACTGATACTTAACCATACTCTTTCAAAAAGATAGCACTTTTCTTTCAGTGTATGGATTAATTGATTACTCCTGTAAAGCCACTTCAGGTGGTTTTGTTGGTTTAAATAACTGGGAGGGGAGGGGGGGGGGGGGCTTCCCAGTTTCTGTATGTTCACCAGAGTTCAAAGCCCCCTTCAGCACATTATTTGAGCCTGTGAAGTCTGGAGAGAAAGGGAGAAGAACAGAAACATCTGAGTCACAAAGAGCTGCCTGAAGTCCTGCCAGTACTGTGGCGTTGAGGTCTGCTTTTGAATCTGCAGTGCAGTTTTTTTTAGAGTGACATTACTTTAAGTGGTTTTGGCTTCTATGGGCGACAGAGCATTGGATTTAAAATGCAACAGCGACAGGGGTTACAGATTTAAGGGTGTTCACGGTGTACTGGTTTGAGCAGTGCTCTATCACTTTTTTAATTTTAGCCACAGCCTCTGCGTTTTGAAAAGCTCACCATGATGTGATTGGGCTTCATTCCCTACACTCTTCATCCAGTTTGGATTGCAGCAGCAGTTATATAGAGAGGTGCAATACAAAGCTCGTTGTTCAATTTACAAATCAACAGTCCTGTGACTGAAACAGCTATTTTTTTACTCTGCGTGCTTCAGTGAATGCTGCACAAAGTCAAGGGAGGATTGAACATTATTTCTTCTCAAATTTATATTATTTTGCTTTGTTTTGCACTTTTTTATCATCTGTTTTGCTGCTTCATTTTATCAACAAATCCACTGTCTTGATTTTTGTCTGTCTTTTAGTATAAAAACTGGCTTCACACGATTTAAATCACCTCTCAAACAAACTTGAACTTAATTATGTTGGCTTTGACTATTGACATTTAGGACCCGGACGTTTGCATTTGAATCTATGTAAAACGTGACCCATTGAACTTACATTTACAGATTATATTGAACTAGTTATTTCAGAACTATGAATGACTGATATGTTTAAATCTGCATAAAAATTACCATTGCAGATCTCCAACTGACTCCCTGAGAGTAACAGAACCCCAATTTAAGATGCATTGGATTGCAGAGTAAAAAGTTCTGTCACTGTCCTAACGGTTGAGGTGTGAAATTAATCTCTATAATCACATTATTCCTCGTGCAATAATGAGCGATTACTACTCACTTAAAGGAGCTTCAGTAATATATTTGCAAGCCTTTGTATGTAGTACAAGAATCAGAAAATGAAAAGGAACCTGTTTGTGTCAGGTAGTCCTGTTCTATTATGTTCTTAAATCAAACAAAACAGAGGGGACAAAAGTCAATACAGAGACAAAAAAGGTGCTAAAACATGATGAAACGGCCTTCTCCTGATCTACACTCCCCACATAGAGGAGGCATCACGTCAGTGCTAGTCCTCTCTGTAACACCCGGATGGTGTAAATCACACCGGCCAGACACTGGCTTCTCATGAGGGAATTCAGAGATAGATCTCTAACCCAGCACTCTGGAAAAAAGCAAATCATGTTGAAAGCCTTCCCATTAGCCAGCACTCAAACTGTACAAAGTCTCAGCCTCTGTCAGAGTTAGACCTGCAGGTAACTGCCCGCGGAAAGCGGTCAATACATGCATCACGCACAATTCATGTTTGTTTTGAGAGCCTGGACAACAGAGATAACCTAATTTCT